CAGAGACAGAGTGGGGAGCAGAACAGGCAGATCTACTGAAATACACTTCTGAGGGGAGCAGTGGGTGGGTCAGGAGAGGTCTGCCGTACAATATGAGTCAGCTCCCTGGAGGGGGATTGAACTTGTACTGCAGTGGCTTTGGAGAGCTTCATAATATGGTACTTTAACCTGTTGCACCAGCAGGGAGAGCCCCAGAAATTCCATTTTTTAAATATATAGCCCAAATAATTGAAAATGAAGACTTGAATATATTTATATTACACTGATGTTAATTATTCACAATAACAAAAACGTGGAATCAATCTAAATGTCCATCAACAGACAGATAAATAAAATATGACATATACATATAACAAAATTTTATTCAACTTTAATAATCATTAAGACAGAAACTACAACAGTGGATACCAGGGAATGGGGATGTGGGAAATGAAGTTATTATTTAATGGATATAGAATTTCCACTTGGGTTGATAAAAAGTTCTGTAATGAATAGCAGTGATGGTCACAAAACAATGTGAGTGATCTTAATGCCACATAATTGTAAACTTAAAACTGGTTAAAATAGTCTATTTTATATTATGTATATTTACGATAACAATAAAGAGAAAAATATACCAACAATTCTACATTGAAATATGAATAAGCAAAAGAAGTAGTAGAGACACTTCATAAAATTACAATGAGATGACTGTGTAATTCAAGGAACTATAAATAAAAAGATCAAGGTGTAATTTTTAATCTATAATATTGGAGGAATTATTTGTTAATATCCAGTTTAGTGTTAGTATGATAATATAAGCATGCTCATAATAGCAATATAAATGTGAGATTATGAGAAAGATATTTTTAAAATCCACCTTCATTAACCCCCAACCCAGCCATCTATTCTAAGGGAATAATTGGAGATGTGTATAAATATTGGAAGAACAAACAATTTAAATAAGGAACTCATGATAAGAGGGAGCAAACTTTGTAAATATTTCTGGTTTGGATTCCAGGGAAAGAGCAGCAAGGGATAAGAATCCAAGCCTGTGACATACCAGGTGTGTATCAAGAACGACAAAGAGGCTAACGTGCCTGGCTGGTGTAGAGTGAGCAAGGGGTTGAATGTTTGAAAATGAGATCAGACATTAGGGGTGAGCGTTTAAGGAGGCCCTTTTGAGGAATTTGGATTTTTCCCTAACTGGAAAGTCCTAGAAAATTTTATATACTTAGATTATAATCCAAGTATTTTTTTTTAAAGATTTATTTATTTATTTATTCATACAGAACTGGGGTACAGGCCAGAGATGTGGAGGGTGAGAGGATTCACCAGGGACAGAGCGGGGAGCAGAACAGGCAGATCAACGAAGTACACTGCTGAGGGGAGCAGCGGGCGGGTCAGGAGAAGTCTGCCATGCCATGTGGATCTCCTCCGGGGCAGGCAGGGATCGAACTCATGAGGAAGTGGCTTCAGCTTCTTAGTGCAGTGCTTTAACCCGCTGCGCCACCAGGGAGGGCCAATCCAAGTATTTTAAAAAAAAAATGTTTAGATGTATTTTATTCCCCAATCAGTTCAGTCAGGTGTTATGGTGACATCATGGGACTCCGGTTTTGAATGAGGACAGAATCTGTTGCTCCATATTTGAATGGCATAGCATGCTTTCATTGGGATAAATATTTTCATCGATCCCACATACAGGATGCCAGGTCTTGCACATCCATTAACTTCATTATTACCTTTAGTCTCTCTTTCCAGGGAATCAGCTGCAGTCTTATACAGAGAGAAAGAAAATCTAGGTTTCACTCATTGCCCTGTGTCACAGATCTCCTTGGTTATTGATTGACTCAGTATGACTCAGGCATGGGGAATGTCACCTGCATAAGAGATGAAAGAAAGGCCATGGTTCGGGTCTCTGTGGGATTCAGTTCTCATAGGTGTCTCTCATCACTGGACTCCTCAGCACTGCCCAGATGGCAGATCTGAGGCGTGCTCATGAGGTCTGACTTCAGTAGAATCTAAGGCACCTGGGATTTTGAATGGGCTGCTCCTTCACAGCCCAGGCATGCCCTCCAGAAGTCCTGGTGTTCCACTTATAATCTAAGTTTTAAAAGGAACCGGATGGGAGAAAGCCTATCTTATGAAAAGTATAAATAAGGACGTTTAAAAAATGTTTTAGAAGGAACACTGAGTGCTAAGTGCTTACTAAGGGTCAAGGGCAAAAGAGGTATCGGTCAATAGTTATTGCAATGTCTAGTGAAGAGAAGGTGATGGCTTGGACTCATTAGATTCTGGTTTTGAAGGTAGAGCTGATGAATTGGATGTGGGATGTGAGATAAAGACAGGAGTCAGGTTGTTATCAAGTAATGCACTTGCCATCTAAAAATGATCACTATATGGGCCCTCCCTGGTGGCGCAACAGGTTAAAGCACACCACTGCAAGCTGGCCACAGTCTCTTCAATGTGAGTTTGAATCCCAGCCCCAGAGGTGACCCACATAGCACAGCAGACCTCTCCTGACCCGCCCACTGCTCCCCTCAGCAGTGTATTTCATCAATCTGCCTGTTCT